TTTTCATATTTACATTAACTGAGTAGATGATTTTATCAATTCAAGGCTATACAATAAATGTTTATATTGCTTCTAAACCCCTTCAACAGACTAAATTTTATTCCCTAATGTAGTGATCTTTGAATTATGTTTTTTGCCAATTACTTGATTTTTATATTAGAACATAAGCCCTTTACATGCAATTTCATCACAATCTCAGTATAAATGTCTCATTTTTCATACCCCCCCCAAAAAACTAATTACATGGTTCAGTAAGTTGCCTGTGGTAACACATCGATTTTATTTACATTCAAAGTTGAACTTGAACTTATTCTCTCAATTTCAACCACATTTATTTTAATAATTCTATCAAATTCATTAAATCTTTTTCTATATTTGAAAGAATTGTAAAGTCACCTTGATCTGACCATTCACTTACAAATTGTGCGCCAAAGTGTTAATAAGATTTTTTCCTAAAATGTAATTACTTAAGTATAACATTTACACAGAATGCACCCATCATTTAATCATTATAAAATGAAACTATACCTATTTTATACTTTATATAGACTTTTATACCTTATATGTATAATTCTTTTCCAAAAACCAAGAAAATAGAATAATCATTGAATGCATTAGAAAACCTACTTAAGACTTGAATCGATATTCATGAGACCAAGGTGCACTTATTTTATAAACTACTTAGTACTAGCCATCATTTCAGATGCTTTTCTTGAAAGCACCTGCTTCTCATGAAACACAAAATACATTATTATTATCCACAAAAAAAAAAAAACACGACAAATAAGAACAGTAAAACAAAATTTACCTCTCAGGTACCATCATGTAAACAACCTCAAAAATTAATTGTTGGGCCCAGCGCGGTGGCGCAACTGGTTAAGATTCTCGCCTTGCACACCCGGGATCCCATATGGGCGCCGGTTCTATCCCGGCAGCCCCGCTTCCCTTCCAGCTCCCTGCCTGTGGCCTGGGAAAGCAGTCGAGGACGGCCCAAGGCTTTGGGACCCTGCACCCGCGTGGGAGACCCGGAAGAGGCTCCTGGCTTCAGATCGGCATAGCATCGGCCGTTGTGCTCACTTGGGGAGTGAATCATCGGACGGAAGATCTTCCTCTCTGTCTCTCCTCTCTGTATATCCGCCTTTCCAATAAAACATAATAAAAATAAATCTTTAAAAACATTAATTGTAAAATAAATGCTGATGTATAAAACACTACTAACCTATGATGCTGTCAAATGACAACATTTGTTTCACAATTCACCAGAATTCTATAATTAAAGCATGAGTCCAAATAATGTACAAAAAGTTCTCCCAATTCAGATATTAATTTCAGTGACTCATAAATTCACCACTAATAAGGAAGATAGATATAAAACCAGGGTAGAAAATGTTCAGAATCCAACTTTTTCCTGGGAAGAAATTTACAAAGCAAATGACGTTTCACCCAAAAATTTCATTTTTATCAATTCTGTGAGTCATTATTTTCCCAGAAAATATCTTTTTCATTCAGCTTAGAATAAACCTTTTTATAATACTGTTTAAGATTATAAAGCTAATCAAATACAAGCCTCTTCCGGGTCTCCCACATGCGTGCAGGATCCAAAAGCTTTGTGCCGTCCTCGACTGCTTTCCCGGGCCACAAGCAGGGAGCTGGATGGGAAATGGAACAGCAGGGACACAAACCAGCACCAAATGGAATCTTGGCACATGCAAGGTGAAGACTTTTAGTCACCAGACTACCACAGCAGGCGCTACTCTTTGCTTTTTATACTGTGAATAATAATTCTGTCATTTTTCACTTATGGTACTACTATCATTATAGTCCCTAATAAATAATTTTTATTTCCTATATATAACAAATGTCTGGGGTCAGCACTGTAACATTGTACTCTAAACCTCTTCCTGCAGAGCCAGCATCCCATATGAACACAAGTTTCTCTCCTGCCTGCTCCGCTTCTAATCCAACAAGCTGCTTACTGCATGGGAAAGCAGCAGACGGTGGCTCAAATCCATGGGCCCCCGTTCCCATGTGGCAGACCCAGAAGGTGCCAGGTCCTGCCATCCGATCAGTTCGGTTCCAGCAGCTGCAGCCATTTGGAAAGTGATGCAGTGGATGGAAGCTCACTCTCTCTTTCCTTCTCTAACTCTGCTTTGCAAATAAAAATAAAAAACTTTTTTACCAAGAATAAATGTTTTAATTATGGAATAAACAATAGTTTCAACATGAGGTATTAAGGCTAGAATTGGCTCAGAGAAGTCATAATTATGAAATCTGGGTGTAAGCCAGGTGTTTCTGCGGTTAAGTTACACAGCATTACCCAAGCATCTTTCCAGTACACTTAAACCTTGTTAAGACTTGTCTCCTTTTACACGTTTTAGTTTATAATTTAAATTTAAACTAGCTTGGTTCGGATATCTTAGGTGGAACCTACTGACAGAATTTCACTAAGATTTATTTTACCAAAAATAATATGATTAAAATATTTGAGAATGAAACTGTTTCCAAGAAATCCCCAATTCACCTGACTACCAATCAGCACATTCCCATGCATGCCCCACTTATTCATGATGATTTCTCTTATTCCCTCTCACTTGAAACAAAGCTGTCCTTATGGCATTAAGTTTTCTCATTAAATATTTAAATATACCCTAATATTAGGTTAAACCATAATTACTCTTCCAACTTAAAACGACAAAAATGAACACTTAATATCATTTGGGAAAATAATCTAAACTTCAACACGTTAAAAAAAAAAAAGCAGGTCCATTCAACAAAGTTTGAACGGTTCCATCACTATAATCCCTTGCTGGCTGCAAACAGTGGATAACAGTTCCCACTGGTTTTAAACTCAAAAGGCAAAAAATTAAAACTAAAAGTAATCATTCTCATGAGAAAACAGTCAATATATTGACAAGTAAGTACAAAGTCTGAGTTACAGAACACTAGGACAACAATTTTACCTATATATAAATCCATCAAGTATTTAAAACTCTCGAGACATGTTTTTTTTTCATTATCTTCATTATGTGGCTCTATGCTTTTTCTAATTTTTTAATTAAAACGCAGTACTCCTGTATTCTTAAAAATAACATTAGAAGTTAATTTTTGCTTAAATCTTTACCAAAAAATTTAAGTCCTTAAGGAATCTAACACATACTATTTAAAGTACCTCACTGTTTAAAAAATTACAAATAACCTACACCTTTCCCTTAAGTAAATCACAAAGTCTAGAACGTGATAACATAAGCTATTTCTATCTTTATTGGTGTGAATAAATCACTTTGCACACCAACTAAAGAAGCCTAATTAACAGCTGGATTTGGGCTCCTCATCATTATAAAATCAGATCTGTGCCATTGACAAAGGTCAGACGAAAAATTAGAACCGAGGGAATAATATACAGCAAAGAAAAAAGATGAATAGAAACAAAAATGAAAACTAAAGAAACAAAAAGAGGAAACCTACATTCTTCTACGTGTGAACATTTTTTTCAGAAAGAACAAAAGTACATATTTTGGTATTTAAGCAAACCAATGCGCTAAGTATATTGTAGGAGATATCTTATTTTGTTTTAGCTCTGATAAACAGAATGCCATTGTTCTAAAATGCTAATTTTGCTTTACAGCTACCTGCTAACTTGTTTGAAATGAACCTAAGTTCTGAGATCTTGCTAGTTAACCAGCTAAATCAGTAATGTCACTCAAAATGTGGCCCTATATTTATAGAGCAAGTATACTGAAAACAGCAGGAGAAAGGTATTAAGCTCAAGAGACAAAGGGACCATCCTTTGGTTCACTGCCCCCTGCTGCTGTGACAGGAGCTATCACAGGAGAGAAGAGAGTTGCCAAGAAAAGCCCGGAAGAAAGAAGGTGTCAGGCGAAAGTTGGCAGAAAATGTTTCAGGCAGATTTAGAAGCTTGAACAGACTCTCCAATGTATTAAAGCAAGCTTTACTCCTTTTAAAAGAATAACCACAAGTTAATAAAATGAAGAGTAATTGGAGAAAAAAAAACTTGGCTCTAAGACACTAACTGAAAAAGAGTTGATACTCTAACCAAAGGTTGGAATTAACATTGACTCAGGAAAAATCCTTGGCATACTTTATAGAAACACTTGGGTAAATTATTCAAAAAATACTAATGAAATAACCTCTGATAATCAATCTGTGGTAACCAGAAGCAGCAACTTAAGCCAAGAGCCAGAATCCATCCAGGTGTCCCAGGCAACCGTCTCCTGGCTCTGGCAAGATGCGCTACGGAAGCTGGATCAGAAGCAGCACAGCCAGGACTCAAATAGGCACTGCTGTGAGATGCAGGTGTCCTAGCAGGAAGCTTAGCTCACTGTGCCACAACACCTGCCCTGCAGCTTTTCCAAAAAACAAAACTTACATTCAGAGTGTCTAGGTATCAAATGCAATCTGTCGATAACAAGTTAGTACTGGAGCCAATATTTCCTAGAATCACCAAATTACAGGAGAAGCAGAAAAAAGCAGGAAGGAAATTGGCTACACCAAGTCCAGGTCAAATTCTTTAATTTTTCTCAAATATGATCTAATATCATAATTCTATCCAGTGAGGCTCACACAAACTTTGTGTCATTCTTTAGTTTTCAACCAAAAATTCAGCTGGCAGTAAACCACAACAGCCACAGGTAAGGAAAAAAAAAAAAAATCTGTTCCTGTCACTGTTTTGCTAAGAGCCCACAATTCACTATCACTTAAAAACAGTGAATATTTCCAGCCCTAACACACTCAGGGGACACAATATATTCCTTTAATAATGGGGTTTACAAGGTCTGGTTTTCAGCACAGCCGGCAAAGATTTAGGGAGTCTGAAACTGTAAAGGTGGGAGACAGAACAGTAAGACTGAGGATGCTGCTTTTTATAAAGAGACAGCTTTTAAACACTTGGGATCTCAAGCAAATCTTAATAACCTCTTCAGATTTACCCCATTCCAAAACAATCCGATGCAAATAGTTTTTAATAAAAACAAAGTTCTTACCCTGCAGTTCATGATGTATAACACCCACTAGGTTGGGTTCATCTCCCCACCAGAATATCCATAACTCCTTGCAATCTGGTTTGACATCACGACGCCATACACACAGCAGGTTGGCTTGCAGACAGCGGATGAAACTTAACAGGATTGGATCATCCTGGGCTGGGGCTGAAATTATGGGTCCACAGTCCCCATGCCCTCCAAAATTGTACCTACGCCATTTGATTCCCGTGAGTTCAGCCTGGAAAAAGATAAAAGCATTGAAATAGTTTTGAGTTTTCCTTTAACTTACAAACCTCTAAAGGCAGGATTCAATACAGAAAATTAAACTAAGATGTTTACAGTAAATGTCACATCAAAGGATTTCTTACATTAAAGGGGAGGATCCCTACACTGGTGAATGGGGTGAGTTAATTTCTATCAAGGTTAACACACAGCTCTTTATATTTAATATCTAAACACACTGATAATCAGTATTTGCTGTTAAGCCATTTTATTTCCCTTTAAACAAGTTTCCATTTAAGTCCTTACTTGGTTCAAATTACATTTAGAACAATTTAAAAGTTTGTACAGTTGAGCATCACTCATTTGAAGATTCAAAATCAAAAAGGTTCCTAAAATCTAAACTTTGGTGCCTTCCAGATTTCCAAATTAAAGATGTCCATCAACAGAATCTATGTAAACATTGCAAAATATTTCTGGTAACAAGTACTTTTAGACAAGGGACACTTAACCTGCAGAAATGATACAATTTTATTCAAAGGATTTCTTTCATTTCTTTCCACACAGAAGCTCCTGTTGAAATGCTTTTTATTTAATGGGGAAAGCAGTTAGTATACAGTGCCATACTGCTTCATTTTGAACACCAAAAGACTATGCGACTATTAAGGTAGGAAGTACTAACAAAATAGATATAAAACTATTAGCAATGTGCTTATATTATTTAACATGTAGCATTCAGAAAAACTTTGTTTCTGTAACAATTCCCTAATGAAGTTTTGTCTATTTTTAAACATTTTAAAATCTTACAACAGAGAACAGAAACTATAACTTTATTGCACTACATACATGCATGATTCATCTCCTTCCTGACAAAGTCAATTCAAAATATGTCTTCTACAGCAACACAACTAAAAACACTTGAAAACTACAGGAATGAAACCATGAGAAAAAAATTCTACTTAACCCAAATAAAAAACATTTATTTTTAAGAAGTTTAATAATAATACTGCAATAATGTAGGCTTTAATTAATATTTCTCATAAAACTGATATTAGCATCATTTAGCCTTTCTCTATGCCACTTGTTTCCTCTGGGAAGTACCACACAACCTATAAAAATTTACAAAATACCTCATAATGACACTAGAAATACTCATTGGTATGTTACACTAATTTTTCCTATTTTACCATGCATGTATATTTTAAAAGTCATAACCGAACTGCATGGGTTTATAACCCATGTTTTCATTATAAACATTTTATACATGTACAGTTAATTACTGCTCAAAAACTATTTTTGGTGTTTGTTTCATATTCTACACTGAAGAAAACAATCAATCCATAACACTGGACAATCTCCCACTTTCTCCATCATCATAGCTGTTATAATTAATGAATATCCTTTTGAAACAGAACAAAGAAAATGACATTTCAAGACTCAGGATGGTCTCCTCTCAATACAAGTAATCTCCTCCCAAACTGCAAGTGTAGAAATATCTGCCCTAAAAGGGAATATTCTTGTACTACGTATAGCCCTGGTTCTGCATGAGGCAAACTGTCCCCACCTATTTCATCAGAGGCAAATCTAGGTCCAGTCTTCCTACATTTGAACCCCAGGTTTATACTTATAAGTAACAAGTACCCAGAGTAAGTTACTTGAAGGCTATCCTCAGCTACCTCACCTGTAAAATCAGGCTAACAGTACCTACTCACAGACTTGTTGGATATGTACGTAAGATGATATAAATTGACCCTATATCAAAGGGTTCCACATCAGTGGATTCAGTCAAATATGGCAAAAATTTTTCAAGAAAAAATACTGCAATGATGTCCCCATGTAGAGATTTATTTTTGGATTATTCCCCAAATAGCAGAGTACAACTGTCCACACAACACATAGATTCTGTTGGGCAATAGAAATAATCTAAGATCATTTAAAAATGTATACAGTTAACATGCAAATACCAATACACAAATTAGGGATTTGAGCACTTTGGAACTCTGGCATCCACAAAGATTCCAGAATCAATCCTCCGCTGATAAAATGAGGAATAACTGCATAGCGTATAGTATTTCTTCTGAGTCACCTGTTCCTACCCTTTGTCAATTTCTATTATAAAATTTTTTATTAAAATATCTGTGTTCTTACTCAGAAAGATTACTTAACCTCAACCTATAAATAAGCATCAAGAAAGTAAACTAAATAAAACAACAAAAAGGCACTGAAATCAGAACACTCAGATATAAGGCCTACTTCTCTCATCACATGAACTAGACAAAGAGTGTTCCGGGCCTGAGAAGCTACAGAGAAGGTGGAGAGAAGAGCAGAAGGGAAACAAAAACAGACCAATAAATATAAATAATATTGGTATCAACCATATTTAAAACATTAGAACCTAGTGGCCAAATCCTCGCCTTGCATCTGCCAGGGTCCCATGTGGGTGCCAGTTTTTGTACCATCTTCTTCACATCCCATCAGCTCCCTGCTTGTGGCCTGGGATGGCTGTGGAACATGACCCAAGGCTTTGGGACCTGCAACTGCGTGGGAGACCCAGAAGAAGCTCCTGAATCCTGCCTTTGGATTGGCTCAGCCCCAGCCACTGAGGCCACTTGGGCAGTGGGCTAGCAGATAGAAGATCTTTCTGTTTCTCCTTCTCTTTCTGCAGATCTCTCAATCAAAATAAATAAATCTTTAAAAAATATATTTGAGATTTAAGCACTGGATGAGTTAGTACAATAAAATCTACGCTCAACAGTTTACTTACTAGAACATGTTCACCTACAACATTCTGTACAATTCAGCAGACAAATATTTGGATTTGACTCATGAGATGGCTTCCTAATCCTAGCACTTCCACTGGCTTCCCTTCAGCACTTCTATGATCTCAGAGGCAAAGAAACCCTGTTGCCACCTGCTCTACGCTCTAACAGAGTTATTCAAGGAAGTCATGTATTATAAATGCAAGGCTACAAACCAAATCACTCCATGACTAATTTAGTCAAAAGAACTGAAAACTGACCTATCATTTTCTAAACACAATTTGCTTGAAAGCATAGGATGGGAATATCCTATTCCTGGGCCATATAAGGCCATAAGATCATTTGGCCCTGGCCCTGCCAAGAAGACTGCAAACAAGACATGAAATTCAATAAATCTATAGCAGGCTAATTTTTAAGTTGATAATTTTATAATGCCAGCGAATATGGCCCTTAGCAGGATAGACTGCCCACCCCTGCCCTACAGCTAACACACTGTATCAGTCTTCCCTGAAAAACCAAACAACGAAATTCCAATCAAGCCCCAGAGAGAAAGCTAAGCATAAAATAGATATTCAAAGACTTAGTTTTACATTTTGAATTAATGTTTGATAACAGAAAAGACAACTTAATCATACTGAAATAGATTCATGAAAAAAATCCCATTAGGGACTTATATTCAATTAGATTCTAACAACTTCATATACAAGATGATAGTTTATAGCTAAAATCAATTCCACTTCCAAGTTCTGTTCTCCCAATTACTGACAAATGTATGTCTCCAAAACTCAATTTATCTAATGATTTCCTTTAAAATGATTCTACATTCGTTATACTGAAAACACATTCTCACTGTCAAAAAAAAACCAGCTATAATTACATTAAATCAACGTACAAAAGGAACAAAACCAGTAGAACTACCACCACCATCATCATTTATTAAACACTTATTGTTTAATAAGTACTATAGAAGAGTCTTCCTATTTAATTTCTGACATGAAGTAATCTACTAGGGAATCTTTATGCTTTCTTCCTAATCTTTACAACCAAATAGCTAGGACTAAGAAAAAGTTAAATATTCTGCCCTAGGTATGTTGGTAGTAAATAGCAGATCCAAAATATCGGCAGAAATCATAACCAACTTTTAAAAATAAATTCTTTCCACCCTGCCATGCTGCTTCATAGACCTGATGGTAAAAATGAGTCCTGGAGCATTATAAAATAGTACAAAGAAACTGTCATCAACTCAATTTAGCAATGACTAGAGGAGCTCTGGCCATACTTTCTAATTTAAGAAAGCTCATGAATCTTTCTTTAGTCTTCATGAGGTATTAAGAAAACTAGTGTTAAAAGTGCCCACATACCAACCCAGGAATAGAAGACACTTTCTACATTTCATTCGGATAAGAATGTGCCCTCTTTTATAAAATGCTATTCCTGAAAGATAGTAGCTACACAAACTAACCTTATGACAGTAGGTAAAACAAACCAAAAAATAACAGTTTAAGAGACAGACTAGAAGGAAATTTGCTCAGCAATAGCTGGCAACTGTAAAATAAGTAGTCAGCGTTCTCCAAAAGCTGAATTAAACTGGCAGAATCCCTTAGTCTAAACAGAATGCCACGACAAGTAGTTTACAACAAAATCAGGATGTAATTCCTCACAATATTAACGCGACTGATTCTCAATGCGCTGTTCCTGAGGTATCACATGTAGAAGAGGAGTCCACCCAGACCCCTAATGGCCGACAGGACACACACTTTCACAGTTAACACAGACAAGAATCAGAGACCAGGAAGGATGAGCCCAGGATGTAACACCTTGGAAACAACACTGGCTGAAAATCTGGCTTCCAGACTGTGGTTTCTCAACTCTCTACCTGTATAATATTAGGGAATCAACTCCCTCTCAGAGCACACTGGCTTCAGGACCCGTAAAGTGAGAGGGATGACCTAGATACTATAAATGAATCAAGTCTCCTGGCCCAGCCCAATTATAATCCCACTCACAAAGGTAACTTGTAAATGAAACAGAATCCTTGTTAGAGATCTTTAAATAATCAGTGGGAATAGACAGGCCACTAGAAAATATTCAAATCTTCAAAAACAAGTTGAAAGAATGATTCCTCAAACTACAGAACAATTAACATCCATCCTGGGCAGCATTCTGATGCTGTGCAGCAAAGCAGCTGTGAACACTGGGGACAGAAAGTAACATACTAGGAAATTCCAAGTGTATCTAACCTCACTTCCCCCTGAGACAC